TTTGTAAAAGCCTTGTTTGTTTTTTTTTGGGCCCCCCCCCCCCCCACTTTTTTAATCAATATATATTTTTTCCTCTTGCCTCAAAGTCTTAGGATTCTGTAGCATACTTCATAATTTACGGACTTCACTCTGGCATTTCCCATAGACTCTTCAGCAGTTTGAAGGAATCATCATTTTTTTCCCCTTTTGATTAGGAAGAAGCTCTCCTCTATCCTGTTTTCTTCTCTGTGAAACAGTGTGTATCCCTTCTCACAGTATTTCCTAAAATCCCCATGTGGCTTCCACTTGGTGTGCTTCCCCACGTGCAGGCCTTGAATAAGCTGAGCCCTGGCACAGTCTGGTTGGCATACCCCTCCTGCCTTGCAGGATGGTATGAGAGCCCTGGGCCAGGGTCCCTCTGCCTACTTACATCCCTAAAGCCAGCAGGGTTGTGGCTGAGGCATGGAACCAGCAGGATGCGTCATTAAGAAGTAATTGGCACTCTTGAGAACAAATGACATGCCTGATTTTTCTTTGTTATTTTTGTGCAGATAGTATTTTTCCCTTGTATTCCCAGTATTTGAAAGGTAGTAGGCTTACATCCCAAGTTAAGACTCAAATGATGGAGAAGTTGGTTGACAGTGGGAAACACCTAAGGGTCAGGCATGGACAACTTGCTTGTCCTCACCAGAAAAGACAATTTTGTTAAGTTCAGCATATTGCATTTGTGTAGGGTATTCCTTGGTCTCTGTGGAATATACAGTAGAAATGATTTTTTAAAAAATATCACCTCCAGCTCCATTTGGTGGGTTTTATTGTTTTATTTTTTAAAACTGAGATCTAATTGACGTACAACATTGTGCAAATTTAGGGTATACAACTTGTTGATTTGATATATGTATATATTGCAATGTGATTATCACTGTGCGGTTCATGAACACCTCCATCAACCTCTAGCTTCATTTCATTGGTCTCTTAGTTCACATTCTCACCTCCAGGCATTCCCCTACCTAGGTTGGCCTATGCATTGTCATCAGATATTAATGTAAGTCAGATGGGATCATCCAGGTGACAGGGCCTGAACTGTAGTAGTGGAAAAGAGATGTGGGAGCAGCACGTGAAACATCCTTGTATGGGAACTTGATCCCAGTGTTGGGCCTATAATTTTAGAGCTGCTCTTGACATAGTGTTTCCTGTGGAAGCTGGTGTCAGAGGTGAGAACCATGGGGGGCAATGTGGAAGACCTTGTCTCTAAACTTCTTAAGTAGCTTAGGCTTCTCGTTTTTCCTGAATAAATGCATTAATTAAATAAAGTAAGTGTTGGGGTTGGGTGTGCTTGTTTGGGTTATTTTTGAGGTATTTAAACACACTTCTAGTTGTTCTCAAGCTTTTCAAGCTTTAATTACTGGAATCAGCAATGAGGAAGTGCCTCCAGAGGTCTGTGGGCGAATGGTTGTGCCTTTTTTCCATGAATCCCCTCCTTCATCTGCTGCTTATCTTGATATGTTCCTAGTTACTTCTTTGCTTTGCTATTGTATGGGTTGATATATCGTAGAATTGTTTTTGTTTTACTTTTGTTTCTAATTTTTCTAAAGATAAGTGCATTTTGTTTTTGTTTTACTTTTGTTTCTAATTTTTCTAAAGATAAGTGCATTTTGACTCTGTAAAGCTTTTGATGCATGGTTAAATGAGCATATAATGTGAGGGTGCTGAATGCCATTGTAACTATATGGGGCAGCACAGGCCAGCCCAGTGATCTCTCTGTTCTGTCCACTGCAGGGGATAAGAAGTACATCATGGGGCCCAAGCTTTCTACTCTCGACGCCACTGTCTTTGGACACTTGGCACAAGCAATGTGGACCTTACCTGGGACGAGACCTGAGCGGCTGATTAAAGGCAAGCCCTGTGAACCTCTTCAGATTTGAGTTGCTGGGAGGGCAAAGGGGAGGGGTAACACAATGGAGAATTCTAAGCTGATGCTTGTGAGCTTGACCGTGCTTTATGGAGACACCAGACTGTGGTGTCCAGAGTCAGGGTCAGTTTTCTGTGCCCAGAATATACACAGGCAGAGGAGAGACTGGGCTTTTCGCCTGCGTCTTGGTCAGCCGATATTCTCAGCAAAGCTGACACAAATCCTGCCATGTCCTACACCAGAGCTTTTCTTCCAGCTCTTTACATTGTGGGCTTAACACTTGTTGCTGAAATGGGGCTGGAATGTCACCTAGCGCCCTTTTTGTTTTGTTGGTCTTCCTTAATTGCCTTTGGTCAGTGGTGGTTCACTACTTTCTGTTGTATCTGATGTTGCTTCAGTCACAGTGGGGTGGGTCTGATGGACTCACTGCCCATTTCAGGTGCTCTATTTGTTTTAACTGGTCTTAGATATTTCACATATAGGTATAAGTACATATAATGTGTCATTTGGTTCAAAGCACTCTGTGCTCCCATTTTAGTAGGGTGTCTGTAGATCATACACTGAGAGTAGTAGAGCTGGAAAGTTCAAGATTGTGGGAAAATAAGTGTCAACAAGTGCTTTGTAAGTTTGGTGCTATACAAAGTATTATTTTTAATATTATATGTACATTTTGACCAATGAATCACCATCTCCTATCTTCATTGAGTGATCTTGGCCATATAGCCTATCAGAATTATAATTCTGTACTGGATGGATAGAAGTGGGAATGAATGGGACCAGAGCTAGAGGATGAATATACATGTGGAGGTGGGGTGGTGGTCATACCTAGGGGTAAAATTCATGTTGACAAGGGAGCAAGGAAAGCCAGTTGGATTTGGATTGATGTCAAGGGACCAGGCCTTGGTGTGCATGTGTGTGTGCATGTGCGTGTTTGTGGTGGAGTTGGGTGATGGGATATACAAAGCAGCTGTGCCTCTGGGAGAAGCTTATTCTGCTTTGGTGGGTGGAAAATGGATTCACCTCTAGTTTGAAGCAGCTCCTAAACAAGTGCCTAGGGGCTGGAGATGTGGAGATTAAGGTTTAATGTTTGGATGTGGAGAAGGAGATTGACAAGAGTTAATCAAAGTGTTTATGCCCCAGCTGAGAAGGCTGGGGGTAGATGAAATCACCAGCGAATAGCATATGGAATGCTCTTAATTAATGTTGGATGGATGGAAGGATGGAAGGAACCAAGCAAGGCAGAATTGTACATGAAACTGAGGCAGGTGAGCAGTCAGTCATATGTGGTGATTACAGGTGGAGAGGTTGGTTAGTGAAGGCTGTAGCTCCGTGTGTGTGTGTGTGTGTGTGTGTGTGTGTGTGTGTGTGTGTGTGTGTGTGTATACACTCATGTGCATGCCCAGAATTTTAGACCAGGCAAGAGTCACTCTCTAGATCTTTCCATTGGTCAGGCTGGGGCTCCAGATACATTACCAGACTTGGCTAGAATGGATCAGGCATTGATTCAATATCTTCCTAGATTTCAGCTGATTGGATTTAGGGAAAGTATGGATTGATCATTTCCTAAATGATCAACATGGAGGTAGATGTTCCTTGTCTTGTGATGTGTTGGAACTTACCTAAATTAAATACGTTATCATATTGGGGATGTTTGTAGCATTTAAAATATTAGTTTCCCTTTATTTTAATCAGATTTTCCATGGTGGTCTAAAATATATTGATTCCTTTTAGTTCATTTAGGAGTGTGTTTTATATTTATTCTCGCTGTTAATTTCTACTCCTTCCATTTCCCTCCCGTACCACTCTTACACACCCACAGGCACACACCCCACATCTACTTAAATACTTCTTTACACACACTGTATACACACTCAGTTGTACACATACACGTCCACTTCTATGCAAATATATTCACACACACACTCATACACACACATATCCTCTGCATATGCATATGTACTCATTTATTGAGGTCATCTGTTACTTAGTCAGCATTCAGGTATCCAGCATCAGTAGAACCCTCAGATTCTATAGTACCTCTTCGTGCAGAAACGAAGCATCTTTTGTTAATTTATTTATGACTTGGCCCTTTCCTCTATTACTTGCTGGAAGGACTTGAGGCATTTAGTGTTCTTTTTAAAGAAATGATCAGTCTTTTTGGAGGATTGATTTTGAGTCCCATCCCCAGACATGGAGGAATCTGACATCATCATCTGCAGGGACTTCTGGCATACAGTTGCATGTACTTTGATTCTTAAAACAAGTTAGTAGCTTCCAGCTCTCCCAGGGGACTGATGTAGCATGAATCATTAAAGTGCACAGAGAGTCTCTAAATCTCATTTTGGTCATTAGTTCCAAGCCCTTTCCAGACCTTTTGATCAGAGCCACTAATATGCGGGCACACTACTAAGTTGATCTCAGCTTCTTTCTCTGCCTTTGTTTTTTCTGTGATGGAGACTTTCCCAAGAAATAACAAGAGAAAGGAGACTCAGAAACAACCAAGAGCCTGGATAATTTAGAAATGGTTCAAACCCAGGAATATGAATGATTTGGTTCAGGCAGTTTTCTGCCTTAGCTTTGTAACAGTTACATATATGAGTGTGTATGTATAAATATTAGCTTTTTGGTTCTAGATATTATTTACAATATCTAGCCACACAAGCTACTTCTGGAACCATCTAGGATAGTGAGAACTTTTCCTTAATTTAGGTGAGTAGAAGAATAGACTTATGAATATTCAGCAATTCTTAAAATATAAATATGTGTCTATTTACATATTTCTATCTATAGATATATGAAGTAGTATTTCCTTACTAGAGAAAAATCTAGAAAAGATAGAAAAGTTAAAAAAATAAAAAATAATTTGTGACTCCATCACCCACAGAGAACTACTGTGGTATGTATCCTCATCTTTTATCAAGTCCATGTATGTATATATTTTTAAAAATTGGGACATGATGTTGATACAGTTATAACCTGCAGTTTTTAAATTAACCATGTATTATTGCTATTTCCCTTGTCATTAAATACTCTTCAAAACAATATAATAGTTGTATAATATCCTATCCTATAACTACATTGTAATTTATGTGATTAATCTTTTTCTGGACTCGTGGATTGTTTCAAATAATTTTTACTGATAAATAACGAGTATTGTATAAATATAAATTCCTGTCCATTGCTAGTTATTTCTGTTTTGGGGAGGAGGGAATTAACTATTCCAAAGGATATAAGCTCTTGGCCTGTAGAAAGACTGTAGTAGTTTATATTTTCAAGAGCATCTGAAAGCCCCTCAAATTTTCTTTCTCAGTTAAGGTTGAATATAATTTGTTTTGATTGCCATTTTTACAGTCAAAAAAGAATCTCAGTTTTATTATTAGCAACACTCAAAAGGAGTCGCATTTGATATTTTGATCAGAGTATCCTCATTAGAGAATTGTGTGTGAATTTGGATACTGTTTAAACAGACATAGAGCATTGCAGAGCCTAGAAAAGTGCAATTGAAACAATAAAAGAGAATGATTTCTGCAAAGCATCTGCTTGCCCTATAGAGCTGTATCAAAACCACAGAACCGAACACTTTTTCTGAATTGGAAAGAAACACAGTCTTCCGTGTTCTAAGAAAAACCTCGATCAGTAACTCTTTTACCAACCATTATGTATTATACTTGGGTGTCCTTTTTGCTTATTATTTGATAGATTAAAAGGTGGACAAAATGCTGGATATCCTTGATGAACACATAAGTATATCCTCACCCCCACACTCTTATGTTCTTTATCCAGAAGTATTCAGGAAGAGGTTGTTGTGGATGCATTCACGTCTCAGCAAAGGGCTGGCTCAAATGACCTTTGTGGGTCTTTGTATTTTGAGATCTATAATGTCCTTTAGTTTTAAGGAGATGAGGAGAAGGAGGAGTCCTGATTACAGCATTCAAATTTGCTAAGAACTTTCCTGAGAAAGTTTAGTGCCCTCTGTGCCTGTATGACAGAATGCTGAAGGGAGTAACCAAGGGCACAGTGAGCACCTTGCACAGGTCTGGAACAGGGAGTTGCTGAGTGAATATTTGTAGACCAAATGAGTGTGTGTGGGCGCTGGCTCCATGGTTTCCAAATACTTGCAGGTTAATGACTAAGGGCTGAGCTGGTGGTGCTGGAAGATCCTGGCAGGCTTCTCGCTCATTCACATTCCTGTCATGCATGATTGGCAGCTGGGAGAAACTGAGTCGTGGGTTCCGGGTCTGGTTGACAATGTTTCCAGTGTCATATCGTATAGAACATTTTTGAATATTAGAGAAATTGGAGTGATAACGGGAAAATAAAACAAGTCACTTTTTTCAAAGAGCGATGGGGAATATTTTCATTTGGGAAACTTCAAGAGACAAGTTCTGTATTCTGTCTGGGAGTGTCCTCTGAGTAGAGGGCCATTTGGCTCTCTGATAAATGTCCTCTCAGGTTGTCTGAGATTATTTCTAATCACTCGGTATTTTACTAATTTATTTTATTTTATTTTTTTAAATTAAGAAAGTAATACATGATTGTCACAATAAGTTGAATAATACAGGCTTATTTTTAAAGATTTAAGACCTCCCCCTATTCATGTCCCATACCCTACCTATGCAATAGCCAATATTAAGGATTTGGAGTGAAGCCTTTTTTATGTACAAATTTATATACATGTATATAGCTGTTTTTGTTTGTTTTTACAATTTTTAAACTAAATGATGAGATTACTTTATAACTTGCTTTTTTCACTTAATAGATTATCATGTCTTTTTAACAGCTATGCAATGTTCTATAGAATTGATACATCATAATTTATTAAATCAGTCCCTATTGATGGACATTCAGGCTGTTTCTCTTCCCTTTTTAATTGACATATAATTCTGCATCCATATACATGTTTCTTTATATACCGATGCTTTTATTTTAGTAGAATAGAGTACTAAAAGTGGTCTGATATGTACATTTAGAATTTTAATAGATAACATCAGATTATTTTCCAAAAAAAGTTTATAGCAGTACTTCCACCAGCCATTAGTACAGTCCCTGCCCCTCCACTTTGGATATTATCAGACTTTAATTTTTACCAGATGGATGAAATTGTTATCCAGTTGTTGAGTACAGTTTGAAAAATGCCATTTTTCTATTGTTTCAAAAAGTTTACATCTTCAATATAGGCATTTATGTTAACAGGCCTCTGTGTGTCTCTCTCTTACACACACATACTATATACAATCTGTTTCTACTGCCAACTTTTTTCTATTTTTTTCGCTGATAGCATGTTGAGTGGGTCCCCTAATGAAGAATCTAGGCACAGGAAGGATTAGCAAAGTCAGATAAAGGTAGAGCTCAGTTATAGATTTTCACTCTTCCTTTCACTCTTTTTATCAGGGGCAGGGTGTGAGGATGGGTGTGTGAACTCCCGTTCCTTGTTCCTTGCTTATCAAACCAAACCCTTCCTTGACTGCATAGTAGAACGATCGCTTCTTTCATGACAACTCATTATCTTTGAGGGGTGACATCTGTGCTCTCATAATTCTTTGAGACCTCAGAAAGAATTACAGAAAAATATTCTGTGTCAGATGATGCAAAGCTGTTAACTGTCAAGCCAGGCTGTCAGCTCACCAGTAGAGAGGCAGGGTAGAGTCTTGGTGAAGGGCATGGAGCCTGGAGACCGCTTGTGTTTGAATCCTGGCTCTGAAACTATCTGGAACTTGAACTTTGGCAAGTTAATTAACCTCTCTGTTGCAGTTTTCTCATCACAGATGGGGGTAATAATATTTCCTGTCTCATATAGAATTTTTGCAAGGACTAATGGAGTTACTATGAATTCTTCATGAAAAAAGCATTTCTAACAGTGCCTGGTACACAGTAAGAACTATATACATGTTTGCTATTATTAATTTTTATCACTGCACACTGAATTGGTATTAATGTCATACAGTCACAAAAGGGGCAGCTATACTGGAAGAAAGATGAAAAAACAGGCTGTAAAAAGAACAGCCACAAAAGAAATGGAGAGAGTCATAGGTGGATCTTGTCAATAGATCCTGACTTTCTAGCTGTTCCTAGGGAGCCACTTGTAGAGAGTGGACCTTAGTAAGGCAAACAGGGCTGTCCCCAGGGCCTCCTGTGAAGTAACCATCATTCATCTTTGATGTCTTCTCCACCTCTCACTTGCTGCTGCTTCCACATCTTTATCCAATTCTTGGTTACCTGTGACTGGCAGCATGCCTGGTGAGGTGTTTCATGACTGCTTCTCTGAGGGGGAAAATGAATGAATGTTTTACATACATCTTCCCAAAAGGGACAATGCTGTTGGCTTCTCTCCTTCTGGCTCCTTAGTGTATACATAAAAATCTTTGAGTAGGGAGCAATCAGAGTGGACTCTTACATAGTGTGAGTTGAGCTCTTATGATCTGAGAAGACCTTGAAAATGGTGACTTGGAACTAATACAAGAACATTGGTTTACAGGATCCATGAAGCAGGGGGATTTGCTTTATTATGTTTTTTAGGGGATGTGCTTATTTAAGCAAAACAACAATCAAATTTTTTTTTTTAGGTGAGGCAACCCTTAGTTGACTTCACAGATTGCAAGGACCTTGTCAGCTTACAATCCCTTATTTTTTATTTTTTATGTCTATAGCATCTGGTCTTTCTAGGTGGTCTCCTGTCCAAGTACTAACCAGGCCTGACCCTGCTTAGCTTCTGAGATCAGACGGGATCGGGCTTGTTCAGGGTGGCATGGCCATAGAGAACAATCAAGTTCTGAAAAATTTTAATGACATGAGAAAATGTTTGCATTAATTTTACAGGAGGTAATAGGCAATAATAATGACAATAAATAAAAAGAAAAAAATACTGAAAGAAATGACACCATAATGTTGGTTGTGGTTATCTTGGATTGATGAGATTATAGTTCTTTTCTGTTTTCTTCTTCATACTTTATATATACAGACCTCTAATTTTCCAAAATGAGAATATACTATTTTTTTGATAGACAATAAAAGAGTAGGTATAGACTGCAATTAACAAAATTATTTATACAGAAACGATCAAGATGTTCAGTGATAGGGGATTGGTAAAAACAAAATCAAACTATGGTATATCTATCTGTATAATGAAATACTTACTATGCAATTATCAAGGTGATGATAGTGTAAAATTGAAAGATTTTCATTATATGTTTGTTCAGTGGAAAAAGGCAGGATAGGAAACAGTGTATAGTAAATGTTATACAGCAAATGTAAATATATGCAAATGTATACATAAGTATGTAAAATTCTGGAAGAATGTAAATGAACATATTATTATGGGAAATAGGATTATCGATAATTTTATTTTTTGCTTACGTATATTTTCTAATTTTCTGCAATAAAACATGGATTACGTACATAATAAGTGAATGTTTATATAACTTGAAAAATAAACATCCAAAGAGTATTTTTATGGCTATGAAGTCCTATAAGAGAGTGACAAATTATGTATTTATAAGCAATGTTGCCATCTGGTGGATTAAAAGCAAAAACTCACCCTTTTCCTTTGTTTTTCATTTGAAATTAGGAAATGAAAGCCAAATAATGTTTCAGACAAATGCCTGGGTGATTTTAGGGACTTAACCGAAGTGTTCCTTTGATTCACATGGAAAAGAAGTAGTCCAGTCATTGACTGTGAACCCAATTAGGGGTGCTGCTGTAGAATTTTAAAAAAATTAGAAAATATCTTTTACTGAATGTGGTTGTAGGCATACGCATCCATAAAGACAATTGCGAGTTATTCATTTTATGGATTATTTAGAGCAAACTTTCCGTCTTAACATTACATTTGTCAACCACTTGGCATAGTACCTAGTAGCCTGTAATAACACTACAAGTATTTGTGGAATGCTTGATTACTTTTGGCTGACTTCATCCAACTGATGGTGTATTTTCACGGACTACAAATTAACTTGAATATGAACCAGTCAAAAGCACTAGTTCTCTTGATATGCAAACATAAAATAATAAAATGCTTCACAAAGCCAAATGTTGGTAGTTTAGCTACCATTTCAGATAAACTACCCACCCTCTGCAACTTCTCATCACCATAGGACTCACTCCTAAATTTCATCCAGCCCACTCACTGAATTTAGCTTTTCCCACTCACCTTAAAAATCTAAATATTTTGACAGTACCTCTGTGGAAAATCGTTATTAATGTCTGCTGTGCTTCATTCTACCAAGTTCCCCAGAAAGCCAGTGGCAGGTAGAGTGTTGCGTTGAGAACTAACCTTTGCTGTCTTTGTCACACTGCAGGTGAGCTGATCAACCTTGCCATGTACTGTGAGAGAATAAGGAGGAAATTCTGGCCAGAGTGGCACCATGATGATGACAACACCATCTATGAGTCCGAGGAGAGCAGCGAAGGCAGCAAAACCCACACGCCCCTGCTGGATTTCAGCTTTTACTCAAGGACAGAGACCTTCGAAGATGAGGGAGCAGAGAACAGTTTTTCCAGAACCCCAGACACGGATTTCACCGGACACTCGCTCTTTGATTCTGACGTGGACATGGATGACTGCACAGACCATGAACAGTGCAAGTGACTTTCAGCCTCGCTGGACCTCTTCTGCTGGAGCTGCCACTCCCTGGGGATGGTCCAGTGTCCCAGGTAGAAATCCATCCGAGCTGGGAGATCTTCGTGCTTGGCACAGTTCTCACAAGCTAACTGGACTATTGCAGCCTTATTTCTTTTTTGTATAAACAAAACACAGAACCATTCGTATGGCTCCATTTAAAACAAACAGGCAAAAAAAAAAAAAAAGTCAGCATGGTTCCTGAAATCCATTTTTGTTTTCATTAGAAAACTAATATTGTGAGGTAGACCAGGTGCAAGAATGGGTTTTCCTCAGATTGTTTATGTTGATCCTCTTCAACCTGAGGACTTAGTTGCAAGATGAATTCTTGAACATCCTTCATCCATCAGGGTTTGAAGTAAGGAGAGATATCATCAGAAGAAATGTAGGAGATGAATGTTTTATGGTGGCTGCTTGTATTTTATGCGTGTATATTGTATGTTGAGCTATAAATCAAATAAAATCCATAGATATTCAGTGAACACCTACTATGTGCAAAGCACTGTGCTAGGTGCTAATCAGTATAAGTTTTATTCTAAGCCCCTGCCAGTGACTGGCTGTGTGATTTTGGGCAAGTCCCTTAATTCTTGTGTGCCTCATTTCCCCTACCTGTAAAGTGGGGATAACAGTACTCTCCACCTACCTACCTCGCAGGGGTGTTGTGAGGATTCATGGGGTCACTTTTGGCGCTTCAATCCTCTTGGAAGAGGTGTGACATAAACACATTTTATTCTTTATTGTGCATCATATGTGTGACGATTTGAGGGCAAAGGAATTCTACATCCAGGCAACAGCAGCCACAGTCCCTTGAAAAAGTGGAGCAGATACAACACACACAAAGGCGCAGTCAAGACTCTGCCATCATTCCTCTTTGTGATGTTGCTGGAATTGAAATCTTTTGTTGAAAGAACGTTGGAAATATTTTTACCAATCATCAACAGCTACAAAAGGTCTTCAATTACGTGTATTTGCAGAAACATTTTTCTTTCACTGCCTGAACCACACTGGAATGTTGTCCTTTGTTGACTCTCGAGTGTTGAGTTACCTTCATTTGATTTATTTGCTAGGAGTCAAGCTCAAGAATGCGATGGGCCTAATAGAGGTGAAGGGGGAAATATTTGATTTTTGTAAGCAGAAGCTTGCCAACTTGTAATGTCTTTTTGAAAGCAAACCTTGCAAGAGGTATTGAAAGGTAAAGTAGGAAGAGGGTCATGTTATTACTATCAAAGCACTTTGTGCAGTGTAGACTCTATGCAGTTTTATTAATGCAGCTTTTCTGGTGTTCTCAGCCCTTGCCCAGTGAGAGGAAGGCAACACTGAGGACAATTTTTAATGTTTCTTAAGGATCTTCCATTCCCTCCACATATTCCCCCTCTCTCCACTTAGGGGCCATCCACTCTGTATTGACTGTATTAATTGTATTTACTAAGGTACACTCTATCTGTGAAGACAGATTTGTTGACTTAAAACATTTTCCAGTGAAAGTTGAGGTGAAGATACAGGAGTGGTGGCTGTGAATTTGGACCAGGAGAGTCAGTGTTAAGATTCACAACTGCAAACAAAACTGCTTTGCTTCTTGACCACAACTGACTGACTGGATAAGGATTATTCCTTATGGAGTTAAAGAGGCACGTAAAAGAGAGCGACTTCTGAGAAATTTATGTACTTTACTTGAAAAAGACTCTGAATATAGCTGTTGCATAACAATCCTAAAATGCTGTGGATTCACAGAGAAATAAAGGAGGAGAGTTTTTGAGGCTGTTTCCCATTTAAGCAATTGTGTATGGCATATGGAACAGGAAGAAATGCTGAGACACCCTAGGTTAGAAATTCTTATTCTGTAGAAAACTCAGTTGTTAATATCTTCTTAAAAGCATTCATTTTTGAGAGGACTATTTGGTGCCTAATGAGGGTGTGGTGGCGAAGATATGAATTGATAACCTTGTTTATTCTCCAGTGTCGTTTGGAGGGACTGTTTGCTTCTTTTCTCTTTAGCACGTGTGCCCCCAGGCAAAGGGAGACTGACAATGTGAATGTAATGAATGGTTGGACTGTGGACCTGTCTCCACAAAGACTGTTACCCTTTCTTCACCTGCAGCTGGAAAGAGTTGTGTTTAAAATTTATTCTTACCGTATAGCTCCAAGTACGATGTATCTTCACTCCAAGAATGATTAAGTTATGAGTCTGTAGATTAACAAATTTTTTTTATTGTGTTTTACTTGGAGGGCAAGTACATAGAGAGCCAACAGTCAAAGTGAAATTGTAAAATAGTTCATTCTATCCAGGTACTTCACACAGAGGCTTGAATGGACATTGTCACCTGGAGTTTTGGGTGCTGGCTTGGCAGCTCATGACGGGATAATCAACATTTTGTCAGTGTAACATGATTTGGAATCCTAGAATATATTCAGGTTTTACTTTCCCATTATGTGTTATGGAAGAAAAATGACCAAGACAAAATCACTGTGGAGTAGATGACTTTATTAGGAGGGCTTTAACTTAATGTGGTTCATTCTTAAACTATCTATATTTGAAGGGTTCTCCAATTTGATGAACAGGTGCTATTTATTAGAAAAACTAACATCAAGAAATTAAGGGACATTTTGGTCTTCTGGCTCACTTGTTCAACTTCTGTGTTTTAACTAGAAAGTAACTTAAGGAAGTGTACTTTTTAATGTTACCAGATGCTTTTGGTTGGACAGAATTCTCATGGGCCGCCTGTTCTTTCTTTCTTTTTTTTTTTTTTTACCTCTCATTGTGAAAATAAGAAGCAGACACCCTTATTCTCTTAGCAGCCATCTTCCAACTAGCCTTGGGATGAAACTTACTGTTGACTGCAGAGCAGAAGTGTACTTTTAATGTTACCAGATGCTTTTTGGTTGGCAGAAATCTCATGGGGCCCCCGTTTTTTTTTTTTTTTTTTTTTTTTTTTTACCTCTCATTGTGAAAATAAATTCTATTCCTCTATCTACTCCCTTTGCCCTCCCCATTCCCACCCATCAGGATTAATGAGCAGCAGTGGTATGCTTTGCTTTGTATATATCAGACTAGATACAAGGACAATATAAATTTATGCAGAAGTAAACTAGCTTGTCAGAGTTTACCATTTTGTTGTAACATAATGAATTATAAACGTTGACACTACTAAGGCCATGGGCTACCCAGAAGACTGATCACAGATTGGAACAACTGGGATATGAATCAGAAGAGCAGTCTAGTCCTCAAGTGAGCCCTGCCTGTGTGTAGTGAGGTGTTAGGATACGTTTTTATGAAACAGCTAGGATTAAAGGAAAGGAAGTGTTAAGGATTTTAGCCTCACGCTTCTTACCTGAATTATTTGTAAGAAAGCATCTCATCATAGAAATGTATAGCTAGGCCATGGATTAGTTCACTTCTTGCCTGAATTATTTGTAAGAAAGCATATCATAGAAATGTATAGCTAGGCCATGGATTAGTTCTAGAAAGCCCCTTCCGAGAGAGCCTGAGGTTGTTTCTGGCTCAGTGCGACATATCTATTTATTTGAAGGGCAGGACCAGGAACTGAGGTCTTTCACCTTGCCTTAAATGGTTCTTGTTACTGTACCACTTTAACTTGTTTTCCTTTTAAAATCCACATTCCTGAGAGATCACTCCATGTTCCTAGAACTAGCAAAGCTCCAGCCTCTCTCAGAGAGTGCTTGAAATCTTCCACTCTTGTCCCTCATGTCTGTTCAGCCTGATCCAGGCAAATTCAGAGATCCTTCTTCAGTACCTATTCTGTGCAAAGTACTGCTAGACTCTGTGAATGATACCAAGATGGACATCTAAGTCACCAGTAATCCTTATTCTTTGTTATTTATCTTTTAAAGCATCCATACCCATATGCTAACTATCCACTGAACATCTACCCTGTTCCTGGTCCTGGGATCCAAACTAGATTTAGAGTGGCAAACAGAACAGACATGGCACCCTGATTTTAGGGCATCTTTTGACTAGATTTCTGCAATAGTCTCTTTTTCATGCTTGAACACTGGCCTGATCCATTGCGCCCGTCACCACTAGGTTAATTTTTCTAAAAAGCTCTGGCCCTCATGAGGTGCTATATTGCCTCAGGGTGTGGGTTACTCTTTAGGGCCTGGTATTCTCACTTCTTTATTTACCTTGTCTCCTGGGGCTCCTTCATGTGTGCCACCTAGTGTATCTAGGTTGGTTTTTTTTGCCATGACCTAAATGTGACTCGTGTCCCCACTCTGCCTCTGGTCATGCCAGTCCCTCTCCTGAAACACTTGCCCTTCCTCTCCACTGGCCCAACTCATACCCATCTCTCAAGGCCCAACTTCATCAGTTCTGCAAGAAGACAGCTCATCATAATCTCTCCTCCCTCTAGAAACACAGCACTCATCATTTTCTTCCCTGAAGCTGCATGGGGAGGGTAGGCTTGGAAAGTAGGCCACATGCTAGAAAGTGGTTTTAAATTTTTGCGTCAGGGACTCCACTTATAATGTAAAGAAAGTCCTACACCCTAGTCTCAGAAAAATACACCTATGAAAATATATAAAATTTACATGTAAATTCAGGGATATTCAGAGGCCTTTTGAAATTATATGTGGATTCCTTAGGGGGTTCTTCTAAAGAGTCTTGAAAAGTCGTTAAATGTTTGTTCTTTCTTGCCCTTAACATATCCAGAGAGAACATTGGAATGCGATGTGCAAGCAACAGTAGTCTCCATTATTATCCACATTGAGTATCTGCTGAGTGACAGTGAAGGAGAGAGGAAGAGCTAGCTTACATTAATTGAGAGAATATTGTTTTGACAGATTTGGCATTTTAAAAGTGACAGGGTTTGGTCGTTGTCACTGTTGTCATTTATCTTTTAACTATCCATCTAAAAGGTCAGTTTATTAAAATCAGTTCAGGGCCAGACGAGCTTCGTTTCAGCCCTGAAACTCACCACTTCTGCATGGGCAGGCTGGCTGGCCTGGGGCGTAAGTGGGAGAGAAGAGGCTGAATTTTTCCTTACAGGAAAAAGTTCTGCACAAACAAGTTTTCCTGTATGTATGTATGTATGTGTGTGTGTATGTATGTGTGTGTGTATGTATGTATGTATGTATGCGTGCATGCATGCTTGCATACAGGCATGCATTCACTCATTCATTCATTCATAGAACAATTGTTGAGTAGATTTTCAATAAAAGGATGGTGCCTTTTGTTGATAGGGAACAACTCAGGTTCTTCTTCCTCTTCTTCCTCCTTTCCTTCTTCCTTTTCTTTTACAGAGTGAAGTTATTTTTGTCGCCCCTGACTGTGACCCAGGGTCCTTTACTCTCCTTTATATGCAGTGCTGTTTAAGATGAACAATAACAGATGGAAGTACATTTAATGACAAAGACTTCCGAGTCTAAATGCTGAACTCTGGCCACCCATCTTAACAGATCTAGAGCTCCACTGAATGTGATTGTGGAGTGCTTGACTTTTATTCCCTTGCTTCCAGGGGTCTAGATG